TAGATGTAGGATATCCACAGACGATATTAAGACAATTTGTCAAATGTTTTCAACAAAAAATTAGGGCCAAAATTATTTTCATCTCTTTTCAAATTAAATAATTTAAACATTTGGTTTGTTAAAATGATGTCATGACGAGTATGTTTTTGTTTTATTTTGTTTAATTTTATCTCTTTAATCTAATTAACAGTCATATGTTTAAGTGGTATATGATTTAATTATTCTCTATCAGTATTCATAAAACGGAATCTTTGATTTGTCGTTTTAACAAATTAAAATTTGTATAAAAATAAACAAGATATAAGCATTTTTATTTTATTTCCATAATAAACAATTGCATAAATTTCTGAACATGAGAAGTATACTATCAATCATTATAAAGACACAAAGATTGTTAGTATACTGTCCAAAAAATGTTTTGCAATGTCGACCCCATCAATCAATTTTATTAATTTGGTATGCATTCGTAAATTGATTTAAAATCAATGAAAAGATAGAAGGTCAACATTAAATCCATTGTTGATTAGTAGTATTTGCTTTTGGTATATTTTTGATTGACCAAGTCTAAAACTACTCTAATATTTGCTAAGAAATTTCTCTGAATATGCACTTACATAACCATATTACCATCATCATCATCATCATCATCATTAATCCTTCATTTAACACATCCACTGCTGGACATACGCCTGACACGCCTAATGTCGTTAACCCAACGTGTGGGTGGTCTTCCTCTACTACGTTTGTCTGCTTTTGACATCCAATTTGTAATTTTGCTCGTCAATCGTGAGTCGTGCATTCTCATTACATGGCCTGCCCAGTTCCATTTCAGTTCCGCTATGCGTTCCACAACATCAGCAATACTCGTACTTCTTCGCAGATCTTCGTTTCTTGTTCGGGCCCACAACTTCACTCCCAGCAGAGAATGTTCCATTCGTCTCTGTGCCGCTCTTAATTTCGAAGCCGTAGTCTTGGTTAAAGTCATAGTTTCCGCCCCATAGGTCATGACCGGTAGTAGGCATTGGTCAAATACTTTTCTTTTGAGGTTAATTGGTATGTTGGCCCTAAGTGTTTCTCGCAGATTTCCAAAGGCTGCCCACGCTAAAGTAATTATTCTTTGGATTTCGCATGTTTAGTTATCCCTGCTGACTCTTATTTCATGACCCAAATACGTATATTTCTCCACTAGTTCTACCACTTGGTCTTGAATAGTTAAATGGTTATTGGGGACCATATTTGTCATAAACTTAGTTTTGGTCAAGTTATGAATAAGCTCTAGTGCCGTTATGAATAATTTCGGTGGTAATGTATCTCCTTGCCTTATCCCACATTTTATTTTTATTGGACTGGTTTTATCGTGTATCTTGACAGTCAGTGGCATTTTTGTAAATATTGTAAATAAGTTCACTATACCTATGGTCAATCCTGCTGTCAATCCTCCCTCCATTTATGTAGTTCTCATAGTGTTTCCACTGCTCGTGATGACTATTGAAGTCGCCTACATACACCGCTGGGTGATGGGGGTACGTTTCTAGAATGAGAGTTTGCTGTTCTTACTTAAAGGTTTATAGACGTTAGTGTTAGTGATTTTTTTATAGCCCTTTTTCTATCCGAATTGTCGAATAAAGGCCTCTCCCATTTCTCGCCATTCATCCCTGTTGTGTGCTAGGCGTTTCCACATTGGTCCTGCGACTCTTTTGATATCGTCGCTCCAGCGCATTTGAGGTCTTCCTCTTGGTCTCTTCGCATCGTACGGTCGCCAGCTTCCGACTTCTTTGTTCCATCTACCATCTTCGAGACGTTCGTTGTGTCCAGCCCATTTCCATTTTAATTTAGCTGCTTGTTTCTCGGCGTCCTTTATTTTTGTTTTGTTCCGGATTGCTTCGTTCGTTTGCCGATCTATTAGTGAGATACCAAGCATCTGTCGTTCCATGGCTCGCTGAGTTTTTCGAATCTTGTCCATGTTCTTTTTTTGTGAATGTCCAGGTTTGAGCTCCGTAAGTGAGAATGGGAAGGATACAAGAATCGAACACTTTGGTTCGAAGGTTTTGGAGTATCTTTTTGTCTTTCAGTATGCATGAGAGTTTTCCAAATGCGGCCCATCCCATTCTTACTCGTCGACTTATTTCGGTAGTTTGGTTTTCTTTGTTTACCTTGATATTCTGACCCAGATATATGTATTCTTCTACATGTTCCACTTTTGTTCCTTGGTTGTCGTCGGTTGATCATCTTTATTCGACGTTAGCTTAGTTTTACTCAGATTCATTTTCAGTCCTTTTTTTATGGATTCCGTATGAAGCTCATCGATCATCGTCTTCAGTTCTTTCCAGCTGTCGGCTATCAGTACTACGTCATCTGCATATCTTAGATGGTTTAAATACTTTCCGTTTATCGATAGTCCCTTCGTTTCCCAATTTAGTGATTTAAAGATGTCTTCAAGTGCGGCAGTAAATAGTTTTGGAGATATAGTGTCTCCCTGTCTTACTCCTCAGTTGATTTTTATTGGCCTCGTTTTCATTCCGTTATTCATCGTGACTACCATTTTAGCGTGTTGATATATTATGTATTAATATCCTACATCTAGAATGTATTCTGCTGTTGACCAGTGCTTCCTCAATAGCCCATAATTCTATGCTGTCAAAAGCTTTCTCGTAGTCTATAAATGCTAAACAGATTGGTAAATTGTATTCGTTAACTTTTTCTATTAGGACCTTTAGTGTGTGAAGATGGTCACATGTACTGAACCCTTTTCTAAATCCGGCTTGCTCTACTGGTTGATATACATCGAACTTTGTTGTCAATCTATCTGTAATTATTTTTGTGAATGTTTTATAAAGTTATGATAGTAGTGATATTGGACGATAATTTTTCAAATCCGTATTGTCCCCTTTTTTGTGTATTAATATTGTGTTAGCAGTATTCCATTCCTTTGGTATGTTTCCTTCAAATAGGCATTTATTAAGAAATATTTTTAGGTACCTGATGACTTCTTCTCCGCCGTCTTTCAACATTTCTGCCAGAATTCCATCACTACCCGGTGCTTTATTTCTTTTCATTTGTTTAATTGCATTTTCTATTTCTACTTCGCTTATTTCGGGCATTACTTCAGAATTTACGTTTGTTATTTGTCTTTTCAGATTTTGCTTTGAAGAGTCGGGGGGATCGTTTCTTGAGCGATATAACTCAGTATAGAAGTTTTCAGCTATGTTTGATATCTGAGCTTTACTTGTTTCTAGTTGGCCTTGTTGATTTTTCATAGTTATAATATTTTTCTTTCCTAATTTCGGTTTGGTATATTTCAGACTTCGATTTTTCTCTATCACTCTTTCTACATGTTCTTGTTGATGTTTTTTAATATCTTTTTTTATCTGTTTCTTTTTTCTATCGATTAAGTTCTTTGTATTTTGTGGTATTTCTTTTATTTAGTGACAGGAGCTCTTTTCGTTGTTTCAGCATATTCTTCGATTCTGCACTTATTTTGGATTTTTTGTTGTTATGGAGGGTTGCTACTTCTGAGCTAGCATTCAATAGTTCTTTTGTTATAACTGAGTTAATTTTATTAACGCTGAGTTGTTCTAGATTCAGTGCTTGGGCGGTTTTTAATTTACTAGCATATTTTTCTTTATCGACTTTTAGCTTTTCTGTGTCTATTTGTATCGTGTTATTAAAGTTAATTCTACGTTTGCTATACTTAATCTTTAGTTTAGCTCTAACCATTCTGTGATCACTACCCAGAGAGACATTATTTATTACTGTTACATCTTCTACGATACCTTTCTTGTTACACATGATGTAATCGATTTCGTTCCTTGTTTTTCCGTCTGGTGATAACCACGTCCACTTTCTTTGCGGTTTTTTCTTATAAAATGTGTTCATTACGAAATATTTGTTGCTATGTAGGAAGTTAACCAGGGTTTCTTCTCTCTCATTTCTAACACCATAGCCGAATTCACCAATATAGTTTTCACTTTCTTCTAGTCGTTGTCCAATCTTAGCGTTGAAATCTCCTATTATAAGTGTATAAGTGCTGTGATAGTTCGTGTTGGTTTCTATTATTTTCTCGTAGAACTCATCTATCTCTTCATCGGGGTGTGTTGAAGTTGGGGCGTACACTTGAATGATTTTTAGGGTGATTTTCTCGTTTATATTCATCACAATCATTGCAATTCTTTCTGAGATTCCCACATATTGTTGTATTTTATTAGCATGTTTCTTAGAAACCAGAAATCCTACGCCGTTTAGACTTTGTGCCCTTTGTAATACAAGATGTTACCTGATTGCAATGTTATGCGCTCCTCACCTTTCCTTGTGACCTCTGCGAGACCAATTATGTCCCACTTTAGGTCCTTTATTTCTTCTTCTAGCTCATAGATTTTTTCATCTCTTTTTAAGGACCTTACATTGAGTGTTGCTATATTCAAGTTTGTTGTTTTTAGCGATTTCTTGCTTCCCCCAGATTCCATGAAGCTGTCCTTTTTTATAAAGGAGTGGGACTTGCCAATACTGTATGATCTACCCACCTGGGGACTTACTCCTATCGTTTTAGAATTCGCCATCATTTTGGGGAGGTTATTAGCCTTAAAACACCGCGCTGGCCAGACGTGTTGGTGAGTGTGTATTCAGCCGTCCATTCTGGATCAGACGCTGTTCGTAGCCGTCCACTCTGGATCAGACGCTATAGTTTGTGATCTTATACTATCCCTAAAATCAAGGGTTGCCAGCTCCGCCATCTTCGCCGTATCTAAAGTATTCTTCGTCGCCTTGGATGCCGTTCTGGACTTCATCCGTGACCCTGGACAAGGGACCCAAGTGATAGCGATACTGCAGAATTTTGTAACAACGGTTTGTATATCTTTCTCAGAGGAGGTGGTAACAAGGGATGCGCTTTCGGTGTTCGTTTTTAGGTATGTGACTGTGCCGTATGGTTGATGATAGGTAGCACCCAGCAGTTCTTAGCCTGGTATTTTTTCCCTTTCTTGGAGATCGTGTTCTGGTATACAATGGGTTTCCTGAATAGCCACTATCGATATCATTATATTTTAATATCCTTGGTAGATACCGGCTGTTGGCTTAGCTTACGCTTTGTATATGAATGTGACAAATTCGAACTGAAGGTCCGATTTTTCTAATAGAAGAGCCTTGAAAAGGGCTTGGTCGTAAGTTTTGAGTCATGGTTCTGTGTGTAGAGGCCATGAGATACTAATATTGTCTGACCGTTAGTATGTCCTAGCCCATTTACTGTTACATGCGGTGCACGTGTATGTTTCCAACAACGACTCTGTTAAAATATTTCCAAGCTGAGTGAACTGACTCAGTGTGATTCAGCTGAGTGACTGTTTACAATTTTTCACAGAATAAAAATTTAGGCAATTGCCAATGAACCATTAACCGCACAAGCATAGTGTAAAATCAATAACCAGTTTCTAACTATGCATTTAATACTCTACTGATAAGTTTATATATTTTACTATATATTTTGGTTTTGGTATTTGAAATTTCATATGAGGATGTAATTTCTTCCTTTGGAAAAAACAGCACAGTTGATGAATAAAAATAGTTAGATTACCCAGTAAAAGAGATCTACATGTAAAGGCCGAATTTAAAAAAAAAAAAACACATGAAAATTTTTTTTTATTTTAATATTTAACAAAATTATTTCCTATAATATTCCTCATATCCATCTTTATTTTTTGTATTTTTTTTTTTCATAATATAATATTTTTAGACAAATCTACCTGTTTTTAAAGTAAAAGAATCCAGTGTAAGGCGACGATACAGTGATTTTGAATGGTTAAGGAATGAATTGGAAAGAGACAGTAAAATTGTTGTGCCTCCTTTACCCGGAAAAGCTTGGAAAAGACAGCTACCTTTTAGAGGCGACGATGGAATCTTTGAGGAAGATTTTATTGAAGATAGAAGAAAAGGTTTAGAAGTTTTTATTAACAAGTAAGTTGTTTTTTTAAACACGAATATCAAATAAATGTAAATACATACAATTTTCATTTCAGCACAAATTCATGTTGGGTCTTATCTATTTATGCATACAAACAAAATCGTTCCACTTATTAAGTGTCAAGGGTTGGAGCATCTAGCTTTTCATAAATTTTTGCCATCGTTTTCTGTTCTGAGCTATTTGTTTTGTTTCCTGCCATGATTTGTCTACTTTTGAGTATTTCTGTCATGTCACTGTTTCAGGCTTTAACCAGAGATTTTTAGGCTTTAATTCCGATTTTCCCCCATTGGTTTTGCCTCCCATACTCTGTTTTCTTGCCTATTATCGTTCATCCGTAATAAATGTACGAACCATGTCAATTTATTCTCCCACATTGTGCCTAGCAAAGCAAAACCGCATAAGACTCAGTCACCAGACAAAAACTTCTACAGGCTATGGTGGAATTTCAAATGCCGCTTCACCTTGTTCAACTAACGGAACTTACACTCGCAGGCGTAGAGTGTAGTCAGAATCCAAAACGACTTTTCAAGACCCTTCCATTGTAAAAATGGACTGAGACAGGGAGATGGGCTGTCGTGTCTCTTATTTAACCTTGCGCTAGAAAAAGTAATTCGAGAGTGTCATATTAATACGAATGACACCATCTTTAATAAATCTGTACAGGTGGTCGGATATGCAGATAACATAGACATTATTGCTACATCCACAGAAGCTATGATCGAAGCATTTCGATCATTAAGGGCATCTGCACTGAGAATAGGATTAAAAGTAAACGCACAGAAAACCAAGTATATGTATTGTACTAGATCAGGCAACCAGATACCTGGACTATTAATTGATGATCTAGAACTGGAAGGTGTGAACACCTTCGTCTACCTGGGCTCGCTGCTGACCAAGGACAACAATGTCAGCGAAGAAATTAATAATGTTGTAAAATGTATTAAATTAGCACGCCTTCAATGGATAGGACATGTAATTAGGCGAGATGAAGATGCAACGACCAGAAAAATTTTCGACCGAAGAGGACGAGTGGGAAGACGAGCCAGAGGAAAACCAAAACTTAGGTATCAAGAAAATATAGAGGATGATCTAAAATCATAAAAATGAATGAATGATGATAAAAAAAGAGTTGCCAGCGACAGGGGCGAATGGAAGATTGTTCTGAAGAAGGCTTTGGCTCATAATCAGATGTAATGCCACTGATGATGATTGTGCCTAGCAATAGACTATTTTTGATTCTGTCTGTTCTTTCGATACTCATTCTTCTTCTGTGATACTTCTACGGAAATTGGACAACCTCAAACAATCCACAAGATCACTACAATCACTGAATAGCGTTTAGACAGAAGTAAAATCCATACTGCATCTCGTTGCTAGAGACATTTCAGATGATATGAAAGAAAAAAGTAAACAATGGATATCAGATGACATATGGTGCAAAATACTGAAAGGAACCAACTGAAAACTAGAGGACTAAGACATGAGAACGAAAAAGGGAGGCGTATCAATGATTGAATATCGAAATAAAACGATTGCGAAATAGACAAAAACCGACATTTGAAACAAATATATAAAAAACAGAAGAGCACGAAAACAAAAGTGAAACTAGAGACATGTTTAAGGAAATAAAGCAGATAACACGTTCTTTTGCTTCAAATCATAATGCCATTAAAGAGGAAAATGAAATCCTCCTTACTACCAACCTTGATATATTAAAAAGATGGGAGGGAATACTGCGAGAATCTGATGACTGAGGCATATGTAGGTAAGTCACCAACACAAAGAATATCAAGTTTTGAGGAAAAATATACCTATCGAAATGATATGGACCCTAGATGACTTTGGAGGATATAATGCACCAAATTTGCTAAATAATTCGTAAAACTTGCACGTGGCCAGAGGACTGGACAAGATCAATATCAATTCCTCTTCATAAAAAAGTATCGAGAGACTCTTGTAGCAAAATCATTATCATCCAGCCTCAAGAGTCTACTGCTGAACATAGGCAAAATCATACTACATACTAATACTACTAGAGAGGATTAAACCATTTCTACTACCAGAAATTCCTGAAGGTTTCGTCACTGGACGAGGTATTAGCGAATAACATGTACGATAGATCATTAAAAAATCAAGGGAATTCAACATCATGACATACAGATTGAACGAATTTAAAACGGATCATACAATTTAATATATGTCTGTTTGAACTGCATTTGAAATAGTGGACCAATATAAAACTTGGACAAAAATAAATCCCTACCTGGCGATAGACAGGTATGTATAAAATATCGTTCAACTATCTGTCTCGCAACAATATTGTTTGCGTAACAATGTTGCCAATCGCCGTGTAATAATCCGATTTGAGGATCTTTTTGAGAGTTATATCTTCTTCGTATCTTTAAATAAATCGGATATTTGCCTATATTTTTCATTGTATTTACAATCTACTACAACAGACTAATAACAAAAATAAACTTAATGGTTTGTAGTTATTTCCTTTCTTTACTGTAAATATTTTATGGTTAACAACTTATTTGAGAAACATCTAGAGGAATGATTTTGGCAACACCGCTCAAAATAACCATCTATGGGAAGCGATAAGTGGTTTGACAGCCTAATAAAATCTCAGATTTATGTGTAGTTTTCAATTTTTATACGTGATGGGCGGGGCAACCTATTTGGGTAGAGTTTTGAATTGTTCTTCAATGATTTCAAAATCCAGCAGCCCGCTGAATATTGGATTTTTATAATATAATTATTTGACAACCTTTTGTTGGTCAGAAGTTGGCCCTAGAACAGAATTGAGCCGAAATACATAGTATTTCGTATGTTCCGAATTTATTTCGTTCAATCTGTATATGTGTTTCATGTTATATTCAAGGCCTTTGAATGTGGTGAATTGAAAGAAGTTGTGGCAGATTCTCAGGATGGGAATGCCACATTAATCAATTTTATTGATCAGGAATCTATTTTCAGGGTAAAATTAAAGGACGTTATCCACCTATTGTACACAAGAGAGAAACCTTTGGGAATAATCAAAACGATCGAAAATATCTACCAAAACAACACAATAAAAGTAAAAGTGGAAGAAGAACTAACATGTTTAATTTACCCAAATAAAACAAAATACATGGTTATAACAGCAAATTTACTAAGATCTAAAGTGGAGCTTGAAGGTCAGGTAATAGAACAAGGGATGGAATTTAAATATCTAGGCATGACATTATCTAGCTGCGGAAAGCTCGAAAAGGAAGTGGGAAATCAAGTGAAGAGAGCAAACAGAGCCGCAGATTGCCCGAATGAAACAATATGGAGAAATTAAAATATCGGGAATGAAATCAAAGCAGAATTTACAAAACAGTCATCAGACCAATAATGGCATATACGGCAGAAACAAGACCTGACTCAAAGAAGACAAAAAGGATGTTAAAAACAGCAGATATGAAAACACTTAGGAAAAATTGATGGTAAAACATTATGGGACAGAGCTAGAAGTACCGATATACGACTTAGAGATGCAAGGTGGAGAACATCAAGAACTGGTTAAGAAATAGAAGAGTAGAATGGAACAATAATATAAGCCGAATGACAACAAATAGAGTAGTAAAGACGGCAAGAGACGGTTCCCCAATAGGAAGACGGAATCAGTAGAAAGACCACGTAATCAATTGAACGGTAACTTACTAGAGGCAAATTGAAAAACGGACAGAGTCATGTCTACATAAAAAGAAGAAGAAGAAGGAATCTATTTAATAACTTCAATTAATTCTATATACATCCATATCGTTTTCATTAGGGAACTTGAATGATAATGCTGAAATAAGGTCGAAATGCAAAAAGTCTGAAGTAAACATCGGCATTAAAATTGCCATGGAAAAAACATTTTCCTGAACAAATGGATTGGAAGGAGAGGTCCTGTTGAGTGGCCACCGAGGTCACCAGACTTACCGCTACCTGAGTTTTTTCTATGGCTTTACCTCAAGTCAGTTGTTTATAAAACTCAACCTGCGTCACTTGGGGAATTGCGAGAAAGAATTACGCAAGCATGTCGCTCTATTACTAGAACAACATCTGCCAAAGTTCGTACAGAATTTGAAAATAGGCTGTATTATTGTTTACAAAACAACGGAACCCATTTTGAATATTTACTTAATTGACATTTTTAACAAATTTGTAGGTCAACAAAAACCTCATTAAATTTTCCCAATTATTGCTTCACGGTGTATAATTATTATTTATACCATTGGATAGAATTTTTTAAAGTCTTTTCAATGATATATTAAAATTTTATAGTCATTTTAGCTCCCCCTTACTATCTTATAAGCGGTTTTAAGCATTTTTTGATATAGCTCATTGTAAGTTTTAAAATTGACACACTGTATACACTAACAGCTCGATATTAGTCCCATTTTCAAAGGGGTACTAAACAACGCAGATCTAAGTTTCTACAAGATAACCGTCTTTTGAATGAAATATAATGTTTTATAATTTATATTTTAAAATCCATTATGTTTTATATATTTTTTTATTATTTTTTAAATATATCTCCAAATAGAGTATCTACTAGTTTAAGTTTTCTTCTTTTATTTTTTGTTAATTATATAAATTTTGAACTGTAGCTCATGGTAATAGCTCACGGTAATTTAAATAAATAAAAAATATAATTTTCGCTGAGGCACTAAAAATTTACAAGTTTAGAACTTTTTTAGTTAATTTCGTGTAATTGTTTCAGAATTGCTGGCCATCCTTTGGCTCAAAATGAAAGGTGCCTACATATGTTTCTACAAGAGCCTCAGATCGATAGAAATTATGTACCCGGAAAAATTCGCAATACATAAATTAATAAAAGCCTAGCTATAATTCCATCCTTGTCTCTACTATTTTATTACTATTTTATTTTATATGTTATTTCGTGTGCATTACTTCTCATAGTTATTAGTTTATTTGAATATATTTGTATATTTTTCTAATTAAGACATGATTTTGGTGGTTATATATCAAATTATTTTTAATAAGTATAAAAGTCTGTTAAATTTATTGTGAACTGACCTGTTTGGTGTAAAAAAACACTTTGGGATATTAATTATTCCATGCTTTAATTTTTGTATAAAATATATAATTACGTATGTATAGTTACTGTCAGTTGTATTTACTCAAATAAATTTATTTATATGCACTCTGTCTGATCTACTACTGAATCATCTTGCCTCCAACTCTTTTGACCTTTCAGTGAAATTATTTCTTGCCAAGTTTTCTTTGATAGCCTAAAAATAACAAAAACGGATATATAAATGATATTAAAAATGAAACACTAATTGAGACAAATACTAATACAAAATTTGTTAAATCCATCAGAAATTTACAGATTCGCATTTTTATTTGACGAAATTGTAACCTAATTTCCATAAAACAAGATAATTTTGGCAACATCGCCATTCGTTCGTTCTCTTCAATGGTAAACTGCATACGAGACAGGCCGAACACTATGCTATGTATTTCTTTTTGCAGGTAACCGCGTAAGTGAGAAGATAAAAATTTGACATGCCGACTGTTCATACAATAGAAGAACGGATAAAAATAATAAAATGGTAATTTGGGGGCAATTTAGTACAAGAAACTAGTAATTTATTTATTATGGCTTTTAAAAATAGGCTAATACCTATAGAAAAAACTGTATTGGCCATTATTCATCAATTTGAAAAGTTTAGCTGTACTAATGGCAGATCAAAAAATGCTGCCCATCAGACCAAACTCGCGAAAAGAAAATTTCTCATGAACGAGAAATTAGAGAAATTCAATTTTGTGCATTGGCTGAAGCGACGCCGTGTTCAACTAAACAAATTGCTGATAAAGTTGATTTTAATGCAAAAACAGTGAGGAATATTTTGAAAGAAACAACTACCATTGATATAAAGTGCAGACAACTCGAGAAATATTTGCTGATGGTCAATTTGGTTACTGTTCGGTACAATTTGGTGGTCTTTTTGGACATTTAATTACCTAAGAATTTTATTTGGTTTAGAATTTCTAATTGTTTGGAATTATTTTTAATTAAAACAGTAGTGCTGGAATTATTTTGTATTTGATTTCATTTTTAT